AGCTTATATCTCGGCCTACCTGCCGGAGATTCCCTACCACGGACTTGCCGTACTAGGATAATGTTGGTGGGGCCCGGGGCCCCAGCCCGTTAGGTTCACTTACGAACAACCGCCATGTTCGGTACATGTGACGAAGCTCGTAACATGTACGAAACTTGAGACGAATCGTTAACGAATTAACAGTTATTGTTAAAAGTAATTGTTGAAATATTCTAAGGGAAATGTAGCCTGCTACAGTCTTCCCCCTCTGAAGTGAACCGTCCCGGGAGCGTTACTTCTTCTTAGAAGTTTTCCGTCCCTTAGGTTTTTCCGGGGCTTGAGGGTGCTTCTTAGACGCAAGTTTGCGTTCATATTCGTCGATGGATTCCGCCAAGGGAGTAGACTGGCGAAGGGATTCCTCTGGTTCATAGGTATTATGACTAGAGTCGTAACCTTCCCATTTAATCAAATACCCCTACCAAAATGAAACCGCTTTAAGAGCGCTCTCAACGCGATCTTAAGCCATATAAAGCACAAGTAGATGCCGCTGTTAAGAGCGTTCTGAGAACGCTCTTATCTGCCATGTTTTAAGATTGTGCCTTCTCAAGCGTTCTTAAGCGATCTCAAGAGAGCGCTCTTTGCAGGGAATCTCAAGCGTTCTCAGCGATCTTACCCGTTCTCAAGGACATTCTCAAACCATTTTCTCACGCATTCTTAAGCAATCTTTCACCACTCTCAAGCATTCTTACACCGTTCTCTCACCATTCTTAAGCGTTCTTAAAGCGTTCTCAAGCGTTCTTACACCGTTCTCTCACCATTCTTAAGCGTTCTTAAAGCGTTCTCAAGCGTTCTTACAGCGTTCTCTCACCATTCTTAAGCGTTCTTACAGTGTTCTCAAGCGTTCTTACACCGTTCTCTCACCATTCTTAAGCGTTCTTAAAGCGTTCTCAAGCGTTCTTACAGCATTCTCTCACCATTCTTAAGCGTTCTTAAAGCGTTCTCAAGCGTTCTTACAGCATTCTCTCACCATTCTTAAGCGTTCTTAAAGCGTTCTCAAGCGTTCTTACACCGTTCTCTCACCATTCTTAAGCGTTCTTAAAGCGTTCTCAAGCGTTCTTACACCGTTCTCTCACCATTCTTAAGCGTTCTTACAGCGTTCTCAAGCGTTCTTACACCGTTCTCTCACCATTCTTAAGCGTTCTTACAGCATTCTCAAGCGCTCTTACAGCGTTCTCAAGCGTTCTCACAGCATTCTCAAGTATTCTTGCAGCGTTCTCAAGCGTTGTTACAGTGTTCTCAAGCATTCCGTCCCCCAGCATTCTTAAACCGTTCTTAAGGGCGCCTTCAAACAGAGGTATGCCCAACAAAAACCTAGGGCCACCATCTCACTAGAGCCCGATTCTCACAGCAGACCACTTTCCCATTCGGGCAGACACACATATGAGGTCAGGTCCACCATGCCAGCACTTATACCTACAACATATCTACAATCACACGCTCGATCCATGCTGGAACTGCATATGGTACTGCAGCATACCAAATGAATGAGTGTTATGATGGATCCCTGAACGCGATCACAAGGCCTATGCTAACTACTCGCAACTAGGCGCAACTAGGCGCATGGACAGGACAGCCCAATAGCCAAGTACAGCCCCACACACCGCCTACACTTCCCACACCTAAGGTGGTTCCTAACAGGGCGTGTATCACTCCAAGTCCACTGCATCCAACTGCTTCTTGCTCAGCCCAGTGGTCCTCATGGCCCACTGGACTGCGGTCATCTTGCCCTTGACTGCGAGCAATCCCACAATGGGCCATCGCACCTGCAGACAGAAGCAACCAGAACAAAGTCAACACATGTGATGCAGACACGGTATCTCAGCTCAACCTTGATTTACCTTCTGGAAGAGGCGGAGTGGCCGGTCGTTTAGTGCAAAGGACTGGCCAGTCGGGGGAATGTGCACAGTGCCAAGGTCCTTGATGACTGCCATGGCGCGGCCAATCACCAGGAGATCAGTGCAGCCGTCAGCGGTCTCGCCATCCTGTATGTTCATAGGGGGTAAGAGGCCAGGCGGCAGTTACAAGCACGCAGACGGAAGTTCTTTGTTAGGGTACGAACACATACAGACACACAGCAGACCGCCTGTCAGACAGCATGTAAGCTTACCAGGTCGCCCAATAGTAATCCAGCCCCCAAAGCCTCGGGCTTGATGTCCTTCTTCTTACGTGCTCCAACAAGGAAGCAGCCCTTGGTCTTCCCCACGAGGTCACATTCTTGCAGGTACGCAAGGTGCCCGTCAGCAGCTGTGTAGCGTTGCAGCTCTTTGTCATTGTCGTCCAGCAGGGCCTGCCACATGCCCTGGTGAACAGCTGGCAGAGCAGCCCCAGCCCCAGCGTCCCTGTTGTCCCCGCTGGGTCCAGGCTCTGTGCCATTGTCAGGGGCTGCCTCCGGCTGGATGTTTTCAACGGGTGGGCTGCCCTCATCATCATCTTCGACAGCTTTGGCCTTGACCTCCTCGTTGGCCTTGGTGTTCTCCTCCTCCTCCTCTTCCTCCTCCTCAGATGCGTGGCCTGCATACATAGACACTGCACACGTTAGTTGCTAGGTCGCCTAATAGGTATCCAAACCCAGAAGTCATAGGAGAGCAAGAAATTCCGAGCATGTTGCTGGCCATATGTGGACTATATTATAGTCCACTTAAATAATATAGAGATAATCTCGAACACAATACAGAGATTGCCTGGTGTAATTTTAGCAAACTAAAGTACACCAAATCTGTATAGAAAAACCCCATCACACCTCCTTTCTTTAGGTGCCGTGTGTTCCTCCACTTGGTCTTAGTGGCGCCGCGCAGCTTATCAAAGACGAGGTCCTCCGTGACCTTTTCGTGCTTCTTCATGCCCACCAGGGAAGCAACTTTATCAACCCCCCCAAAGTCCGCAACAATCTTTGCCAGGCGCGGCTTCAAGTTCTGCAAAAGCACAAACAACAATGCATTGTGGTGTAGATCTGCGCTAGACCTGGCGGCATGCACTGTGGTGTGGATATCTGGTTTCTCCCTCTAGGACATGGTGCTTGTTCGATGAAGAATGTCAATGAGCCAGTGGATAGGAATAGATTGTACACCATGAAACCCCACCCACACACCCACCTCGATGTTTTCGAAGATGCTCGTAGCAAGGAAGTCGTCCTGGAAGTCGTCAAGAATGCGGTCTGTAAGGGTGGTGCTGGTCCTGCAGCAGCGCGTGCTGGACTGCTTGGGCTTCTTTGCACGACCCCCGCCACCCCCGCACATAGCTGCCAGGCCGGCGGAGAGGCGCTGAAGCTCCACGGGCTTGAGCGGCTTGGGCCCCTCCTTCAGGACGGTCACAAGTTGATCTGTGAACGCCGTTGCAGCCTGCCGCCTTGGATCGGTGAAGTCGTCCCCACATAGACCGGCCACGTCGCAGAGCTTCTCACAGACCTCGTAGGCACGAAGGAAAGTACCCTCGTTGCTTGCAGACAGGGTGTACTGGGATGGCCAGCTAAGGATGGCCGCCAGGACACGGCCGGCCTCAGTGTTCAGCATAAGGCCGTGTGAACTAGCATGCTGTTTTTGTGCATCAGTGAAGATGCTGAGGAAGGCGTCGGGGTCAGGTGCGACCTCCACAACAGCTTCCACGGCTGCATCATCATCGGTCCTGGGCCGTTTTTTCTGCACCGCACGGAGGAAATGGGTTGGGATCGAGCCCAGATATCTGTTGTCTTTGCATGCATTCATTTTATTTGCCGACATTGACATGGAGCAAGGCATCCCGTGAAAATGCACGTGATTGGAAACATGAACCTAAGAGAAACATTTGTAACCCAGATCGCGTAAAACAGTATAATTTGGAAAATTGGAATGAGAGAAATGGTCTGCGGTAACCGTATGAAGGGAAATGAATGGTTTGACCCGATCTGGACCCGGTCATACCTTATTGCGGACTGCACCCTCGGTGGCAGCGGCTTTCCTCTTTGTCGCAGCAGGCATAGTAGCAATACGTGCTGATTGTCGAGGGTGTCCTTCTTCAGCTCCTCGTTGTGAGCGCTGTTTTGGCGGACGAGATGGAGGCTTGCTTGAAGGCCTGGCGACCTGTAGTCCAAGGCTTTCTAGCTTCTTTAAATTCCTCTGGATGATGAGAGCTCTCTCTTCTTCAAGTGTGTTCCTCAACGACCGTTCTGGGGACACAGACCTCGAGGACCCCTGTCCGCTATTTGGACTATTCTGCCTGGATGTCATCTACAAAATATGAGCACATATGCTTCGATTCATTGGTACTGTCCAATTCTGCGAAGTTAAGACCAGGATTCAGCATAATTTTTAAGATGCCGTACACTTCCGGACCCGGGTCCGGAATTGTACGGCATTTCACCTCTTGCTGCCCAGAAGTCATGTGAACATTTGGACAATTTGCAGCACCAATAAGAAACATCACTGGTTTAGCACTATGAGATTGCTGTGAAAATGTCACCATCTGGTACCTTAATGCAGATACGCGACCTTTACTTACAGAAGAGACAAATAGGCCAACACCTTAAACGTGAAGTGTTTAACTTTGCGTGTGAACTTGCACAGTGCCGCGCCGGAGAAACCTTCATAGTTATTGTCGATGGCATTGAGTGGGTTGCTACAGTTCCAAGGCGCAGCAAGCCAGACGATCTCGTATCAATGAGATTCTCGGCTGGCAATCAGGTGAATACTGTGCCAGGTTGTTGTTGAGAAGTGTTCGGCGCGCAAACAGATTGTGTCCGTCCTCACAGGTGGAGAGGACGCTAGTCGGAATGCTTGGTAGTGGCGCCAAGGAGGAGAGCCTTAAGAGGTACATCCGTGAAGGATTGGCGATGAAGACAAACGAGTACAAAGAGCGGATCAGGGGCATGAGCCATGATGCCGCTCTGGTGTTTGTCCGGGACCACATAAGACACACCACACCAGCCCAAGGACAGATTGGTCGCGAGGACAACATGATGTACCATTGGCCCATGCGGCCATGGACTCGGCTGTATGATGAGGTATGCTACCTGCCTTTGTTCCGCCCAGGTTGTCTCAGCTGAAGCCAGGGTGCCTGCACACATGCAGATCATCAAGAATGCAGCAGCTTTGCCGCCGATAGCTGCTGAGTGTGGGCTGCCAGGCAGCCAGCACGCCGCTGGCAGCCTCCCTGAGCACAGCAGCGGGTTGTGTACCATGCCAGGGGTCCCTGCACGCAGCACGGCTTTGTCTGAGCATGCCGCTTCAAGCTTTGCGCTTCACCTCCGTGCCGCCAGTGTCATCACGTCACAGGCAGCCAGCGCGGCTGACAGGACCATGACAACGGTGGGTTTCCAGCTCCAGGGCTGGGGCGGGGAGCAATATGCATGGGCACCTTTACAAACAGATTGTGTATGTCACAGGGGAATGAAGAAGCTTTGAAGGCTGGTGAGGAGGTGGTGACCTCCGGGGGAGCTGAGGTATGTACCACTGCCCTGTCGCCGGCCCGCGGCCTTCCATCCTTCCCGCACCCATAACACACACGCACGATCTTCTTGCCTGTCACCATCCACCCAGGGAGGTGATGCTGCCATGGTGGACCCGGTGAAGCACGGTGGCACTGGTGATGCTGGCGAGTATGGGGTGTCCGAGGATGGCACAGAGGTCTCTGGTGCTGGCCAGAGCAATGGGCTGGCCCCTTCAGAAGCAGGCGAACAGGTAGGATTATGGGTGAGATCAAGACCAAGCTCATGCATGGCAGGGGGGAGTATGGTCGCACCTTGAGTGTCGTGCGGTCTCCCTGACCCCCGTCCGTCCCCTGTCGCTGCTCCTGCAGTCAGAGGAGCTGGTTCATCTAGGCTTTGGTGTGTGCAACGAGACCAGGAAGCGAAAGCGGGCCCCAAACATGACCCGGCTGGTGGCGGACGATGAGGAGCAGCAACGGGAGATAGACAGGGGACGCAATGATACAGATGATGCCGCTCCACGGTATCCACGCATGGCAGGACAGCAGGTGGGCAGGCCTGAGGGGCGGGGTCGGTCTACATAATTGAGGGTACACCGGTGTACCACAGAGCATGCAACGGGTGCACCAAATGACACTCCACAGGAGCAGCACGAGGGGGTGGAGTGTGTCGGCTGGGGATGGCACGAAGGGGGGCATCCTCAGATGCACTTGCTTGCTGTGTTCTCTGTGGTGTACTCCGGTATACCAAGGCTTCGGTGCAAGTCTGCTTCCCGCTGCCATGACTGCTCGTCGACCAACCTTGGCGAACCTGTCATGCCTCCTGTGCATCACTCTGTGTGACGCGGCCTGCAGGAGGAGGACGCCCGTGGCAGTGAGGCGGCTGCTGTGCCATCCCCGTCGGCTGCAGGACGAGCTGCCATGCCCAGCCCACGGTTTCCGTGCACGGTAAGACAGGAGGTGGGGGAGCCTGAGGGGCGGGGTCGGTCTACATAATTGAGGGTACACCGGTGTACCACAGAGCATGCAACGGGTGCACCAAATGACACTCCACAGGAGCAGCACGAGGGGGTGGAGTGTGTCGGCTGGGGATGGCACGAAGGGGGGCATCCTCAGATGCACTTGCTTGCTGTGTTCTCTGTGGTGTACTCCGGTATACCAAGGCTTCGGTGCAAGTCTGCTTCCCGCTGCCATGACTGCTCGTCGACCAACCTTGGCGAACGTGTCATGCCTCCTGTGCATCACTCTGTGTGACGCGGCCTGCAGGAGGAGGACGCCCGTGGCGGTGAGGCGGCTGCTGTGCCATCCCCGTCGGCTGCAGGACGAGCTGCCATGCCCAGCCCACGGTTTCCGTGCACGGTAAGACAGGAGGTGGGGGAGCCTGAGGGGCGGGGTCGGTCTACATAATTGAGGGTACACCAGTGTACCACAGAGCATGCAACGGGTGCACCAAATGACACTCCACAGGAGCAGCACGAGGGGGTGGAGCCTGAGGGGCGGGGCGGTCCGTGTGAGGGAGGGTACACCACAGAGCACACAACGGGTGCACCGCATGACACTGCCCGTTGACCAGCCTGGTGAACCCAACGTGCCTCCTGTGCATTACTCCGTGCAATGCGGCCTGCAGGAGGGGGGCGCCTCTGCTACTGTGCAGCTGCCACCGCCGGCGCCTGAGGATGCCCGTGGCGGTGAGGCGGCTGCTCAAGCAGCAGACGAGAGGAGGAGACTGCTGCCCAATGATGAAGCACACCTTGAGCGAGAGATCCGCCGCATGGCTGGTGCGGTGGTGTCCTATCGGGAGTCTCGCCATCGGCGAAGGCCCACCAGGAACCGGGCCATCCAGTCATCATCGGACTCGGACGTGGAATCTGAGCCGGAACCAGAGGACAGCCATGTACTCGAAACAGACCTTTTCAAGCACACGATAGACATGGTCCCGGTGATGCTTGACAAGGAGGGGTTTGCGGTAGTAGACGATCCCCACCTCGCCTCTCTGATCACTCCTGATGTTCCCACAAGCACCACTGAGCTCGTGTCAGGCGATAAGGCAGCAGCAATATTTCAGCGTGGGGACCTTCCCTCGCGGCAGGGAGGGCTACCACGGCTTACCCATGAGGGCAGGCTCCGACTCAGCAATGGAACCGGGAGGCGTATGATGGTCAAGCTGGACAAGGTGCAGCCGGGGCCTAGCCTGTCGAACATAGCATCCTACGTGGAGGGTGTTATCCAAGACATAGTGGAGCGGATCCCTGGCTTGCACCTGGTCAAGCCTGGTGTGATCCTTGGCAACAACCCTGGCGGCACAGCCCCCATTCGTCGGCAGACGCTGCACGTGGACATGCAGCCTGGCAGAGGGATGTCGTTTGTTGCAATCGTGCCATTGGAGCAGGACATCGAGCTGTGGGTGAGCCCAGGGAGCCACCACACTGTGCAGGCGTTTGCTGCTCGGGCAGAGCCTGCTGCTGCAGCTGCTGCTGCAGCAGCAGATGATGCCGAAGCAGGTGATGCAAGCAGAGCCGACAGAAGCAGTGCGGCAGGTGGGGAGGCCAGCCCCCACAGCGGTCAGGGGGCGGGGCGGGGTGGCACGCCATCAGGCCTGTCCCTGGCGAACACATTGACCCTGCCGGACGAGACAGCCCTGAGGTTCGTGTCGCACCTCCCGAGTCACCCAGTCATGAGGATGCGGGGACAGCCTGGCCAGATCATTTTCCTGCATGGCAACACTGTGCATGCTGGGGCGGCTGGCAAGGCTGGCACCTGGAGCCCGCGCCTCCACTGGTATGTTCAGGGTGGTGATCTGGAAAATGAGACATACAGCCTGGCTTATGTCCACAAGGAGCTCCGTCGGCTATTCCACCTCTCCTGAGCATTGAATATGCACACGGATGCCATTCCACAGTGGCCAGGCAGATTCCATCTATGAGCGGCCAGCTTGTAGTTCGAGTGTGAGAGGGCGGGGTTAACCCCAAACGTTTGGGGCTGGTGAGACTGGAGTCCTGGCTGTGGCTGGTGAATGACCACAAACCCGCTGAGCTGGCGGTGTTGCCACCGTGCAGCTGGCCCATGAATGGGTTGAGACGTGCTCGTGTTCTGTCTAGCCTGGGACTTGATGGTCAGACCGGCAGGGTGGCGCCCTTGTGTGTGCCCTGGTGTGCTTGTGCTAGGTCTTTCCGTCAGTCCCTGTGAATCCTAAGCACAGTGTTGAGAGTGCTTTGCGTATGGTTTCCGTTTTGTGGGGGTTTGCATTCCTCCTCCCCACATGTTCAAGGTGTTGGCAGTCGTTGTCGATCCTGTGAGGTTCGGGCCGGTGCTGTGAGGGCAAATGTCAGCAAGGTGGTCTTTCCGTTAGCTGGGCGCTTGCTGCTTTGTTTTGTTGCTGTCGCTCCTGTCCTTGTAAGATTCTATCTCCGACGAAGAGAGCTAAGTGTTAAAGAGAGCTAAGTGCTACCGGTTAAACAGAGTAGAAGTACCAGCTGAATGGAAATGTTGCATTTGCGACTGCGTCTTGATCCAAAATTCGAAGGTGTCTCGAGATCCAAATTCAAAAACACGGCCAACTGTTCTCGTCAGCATTTTTAAATCGACCAAGATTGTCTTATGAATGTACACAGTCAAGACCGCTGCCACGATCGAAGTGCACCATTGTTTGTCCATCAGCTCAGCCATGCAGGCACTTTATCTCACTAGATAAAAGACAGCGGAATCCATGCTCCAATAATCTGCTGACAATGGTCCGGCCGCTTGGCGCCCTTGATATAAAGAAGCAACCCGTGGAGGATGACTGGTTGGTGTACACTCTGACTTTGGTCATGTTGGGCTTCCTGGTGCTGGTCGCTTTTGGGACAGTGACAACGAATAATCTCGGCGCCACCCGCACCAGCGACTTGGTGTATTGTCTTTGCCCCCAATGCGCGGCAAATGTCCAACAGACATCGGATACATCTGCCGGCTTGGTGACTGCTGATGCATCCCGACGCCACCGGCGCCACTGGGGGGGGGGGGCGGTGTGCGCTCCCTGCCTGCCTCAGCGGACCCTGCATATGTAGCGGCATCATACACTCGGGCCATTGGACAACCTGACAGACTCCTGGATCCGACCGCAGCCCCGCCGATCACAATGCAGCAACCTCCAACTCTGCCGCATGCTGTGGTACTCATCACACCAGATACAGCTGGGGGTGAGACTCCGTGGTCGAGGGCAGGGTCGGGATTGGCGGTTGCCCATTTGTGAAGAGTCGCTCCTCAAAACCCCTTCAATCAATCCCATCCCATCCCACCCCAGGGACCGACGAAGATGACTGGGACGAACCCCCTGACGACATGGACACGACCGAAAATACAGACATGGAAGCTGCTTCACCCACGTCCCCTAGCCAGGGACATGACCACCATGAGCCTGCAGTACGCGTGGATTACGAGGCATACGTGCCGGGGCGTGGTGATGGGGGGACACTCACCTGCTCTTATACAGAGTGGAGGATTCCTAATGTGGACTGGACAAACAAGAGCAAACTTTATACCAACCTCTCCGCCGACTTGCTCGATATGCTCGCAATCAAGTCCAAAAACAAGCTTACGCAGGCTGCATGTGAGGATATCATGAAGCTTCAGTACAAGCGGTGCAAGATCCCAGAGGATGAGAGGCCAACCAAGTATGCCCAGTTCCTGACGTTCCTCCAGGATCAGCGAGTCCTGACCCAAGAAGACTGCCGATACGTATCATACGAGTACTGTGTGATGTGTGGGAGTTTGTATGCAGGGGACGATCACCAGAGCACCGTGTGTCTTAATCCTGAATGTGGGTGCCTGCGAGCGGGGAACACGAAAAAATTCATCTACAGGTGCGTGCTCTGATTGATGGATCCTGCTTCCTGATTTGAGCCCAGAGCACCGACAATACCGCACCTCACTGTCTGCTCTTGCTAATGCGTACCTGAACATTTGCCGCGCCTACTGCAATTGGTGCATGTGTATGAGTAGCCAGTTGGCCCATGCCTGCTCACCTACAGCTGCCCACCCTGCCCCACGCCGCCCCCCCCTCTCCCCTGCAGAAGTGTCACGGACTACATTCGGAGGCTTTTTGCTTCGAAGCACTACTCCAAGGAAATCAGGCATCATGCGAAATCTGCTGCCGAACGTGGGTTGCCAGACGGGTTCATCTGTGACATCACAGACGGCAAGGCTTACATCGTCATGAAGGAATCTGAGCAAGGTGGACAGCCTCCCCTGCGTGACACGGACATCCTCCTCGGTGTCTTCACTGATGGAGTCCAGGCATACAAGGACGATGCTAGTTACAGTCTGTACCCCGTCGCCATCACAGCATACAATTTCAGCCCAGACATAAGGTGGGGCACCGTCGTCAGTGGATCCCCCAGTAGGGCCATGCACATCCATCCAATTGCATTGCCAACCCTGTCTGCCCAACTTGGGTTCAGGTACACCCACGGCGTGACAACGGTCCTTGGCATCCTGCCAGGTTCCCGAAAGAAGGATGAGGGGGAGAGGCCGCGTGTTGGGTGCGTGTTGAAGCTCCTGTCCAGGGAGCTGGAAAGCCTGGCGGAGCGCGGGGTGGATACTTTCGATGCACACACGGAGTCCTACATCAATGTCAGGGTTAGACTTCTCACGGCCGGTGGGGATTACCGGGCCATCGAGGACATGCTGCGAATGTCAGGGGCACCACGAGTAAAACATGGCTGCTATAAGTGCTGGACAGCTGGCAGCAAGGGCGTCCACAAGTACAACTATCCCGGAGCATGGACGTGGCTGGACGGTGACGACCCGATTAGGCGGCCTGCCAGTGTGCTGAACCCCATCACAGATGCCACAGGACAGTCTATCACAAGGACAGCCAATGAGCCTCGGCCAGCAGTACGGACAAAGGTGGAGCTCGTGGCCATGACCCCGGTAGGGACCAATGTTTGTCGTGCATTACTGTGCACAGGATAACACACAGGATAACACATGTAAATAACTTTGGACACTGCCAATGCAGGTGCCCACCCATGGTGGCGAGGTGGAACCTGCGCCAGTAAGT